TCACTGTCCTCATCTTTACACAACAAACAAAATGACTACCACAGAGAGAATAAGGGCAAGTCAGACACCCACCAGGAGGTTCAGGAGAAGTTCTTTTTGAAAACTCAAATTATTAATTGGAGGAGTAATTGCATCCCTAAGAGAAGAATGAGGCTAGGATGGAGGACATTTATCTAAGGCAGCTCAAGTGCAGGCCTGTGGAAGGTTTAGATGACTTATCATGGCCCTGCGAAGCCTCTGGTTTTAGACGAGGCAGGTAAGTATCCCACAGAGGCCTGCTCCTCGTGAAAAAGATGCTTGCTGCTTGAAGAACTCTGCGGGTGTAAGGTCCTGGCCGCCACTGGAGAGGCTTCTGTCCACAGATCTCCAGGTGCTGTACGGGGACAGAGTCACCGAGGTGTGGGGCTGGGAAGGAAAAGGTCCAGGGCTGCAAGTGCATCACCCCCGAAGATCTGAAGGAGATGGTGTGTTCTTCTAACTCTAGCCAGCTAATGTGGGGGTTTGGTTTTCAGACACAACACTCTCCTTCCAAGTCTCTGATTTTAAAATGATTTGTTTTAATCTACAAAATAAATACAGGACAGAGGAGTTTTGAAGTGGGGTGGTTATTTGTTTTGAAGGGATGCGGCCAAACCAAACAAATAACGAGTTCTTTTAACTCCCCATCCCCGCGACTACAGTGGCACCCAGACACCACCGTGCTGAGCCCGGAGCTCTCGGCAGCGCAGGCCAAGTGCCGCTCCCCTTCAGGCCTGCTCTGGAACCTGGCCCTCCAGGACAGCGTACACCTCTGGGCCTGAGAGGAACAACTGCAAAGTCCATTTCCCTTGGGGTGCAAGAAGAGCAAGGCCCAGGGCAGCCTGTTGAGAGCGTGAGCTGCTGACCAGGAAGGAGCTTCTCGCTGGACTCTACAATTTCACTATCCCTAGCTTGGTCTCAGACTTTTCGTTCCACAGCCTGTGAAAGTCTGAAGTAGTAAGTCCGAGGTAGCGTGGCCCCTGAGCCTCTTGGAGGGTGTCACTGTGTTAATATGATGAGCTTAGAGCAGGGATGGTGAGCCTTTTAGAGTTTTCAATAATACCAACAGCCCACTGAGGCACGCGTGTCATAGGTTCACCTCCACGGCTGAGAGCATTCCTGACACTTATTACGGGGTGATTCTGAAAACTCATGGACCTAAATCTTTTCTGTCTTCACCATTCCATCCTCAATCCATCCATCAGGGTATACAGGCTCTCTCTTTGTCCCTAACTTATTTCTAAATAGATGAGAGCAGCTCAGTCACCCCATGACTAAGAGCAAAGTAACCTGAGCTCGGTCAGTGAAAGAGCTGCCCACACTGACCAAATAAGGAAGAATTTTCTTAGACTTGTAAGGGGAATAGCCCGGGTCTTGCTATCCTGACACCAGTCCTGTCTCCACTCTTCAGGCACAGGCTCTCCCTCCAAGGCAGCCTCAGGGACTGGAATCTCAGGAGACAGGACCTTGACAAGGCCATGATGCCTTTGAGCTCTTCCATGCACCCCTTGGGCTGTGTGTGCACAACTGTGCCTGAAATTACACACGCATACATGAGCCTTCTACCACTGCACTGACCACACTATGTCTATGTCTGGGACGTTACTTATGCAGCTGGTAAAACCCAAGCAGTAGTTTCTGCTGTGGTTTCTGAAGAATTCTCTGTGAAGCAATTTGTATAATGTAAGGGTGCATGTGGGTTGGAGATGGGTTCCATCAAGGGGATGAATGCTTAGCCTTGTGGTTAAGCCATAAATATGCACAAGGAGGGCCCGCCCTACATGAAAATCATAGGTTTCCTATTTATGCATGTGGAACTGGAGAAGGATTTGGGAGTGTGTTGTGCATATGGCCTGCGTCACCATGCTGTATTTTGCCAGAAGGATGCTTACAATCCCCCAGCAACAGCCGGGTTGACATTCTCATAGGCAAACTCACGAATACCTGTTGGATGGAAAGAGACTAAGAAGGAGGGAAACTGGAGAAGAATTCCTTAGTTTTCTCTTACTTCCTTATAGTGAGAGGAAAGTCATTTCCCCATGGAGTCAGACCTTGTCTCACCCAGCATGTGTCCAAATTGCAAATAATGTTTTGCAAGGATGTAGCATAGCCACTGCCTGCCACCTTGCATGCTCATTAATCTTTCTTTTCTCTATTTTCCCCACTCCCTTGTCTCTGATACACTGCACTGGTATAGACTGTGACTAGGGAATTGAAATGGAGTTCCCAAATTTCGGCCCCAAATGTCACAATCCCCCAGTTCACTCCCAGGGTGCTAGAAGTTTGCAAACCTTCCGAGCTGGCTGCTGAGCCGCTGCATCTCTTTCTGCTCTGCTTTTTCCTTAGGTCCTGTTGTCTGAATTTTGCTTTCAAGCCCACCGCTCAACACCAGTTAGCTGGGCACAGTGCCCAGTGTCCAGAGGCCACAAAGAGAAGCTCGGTGGTAACACCAGCATAGATGAAACCTTCTCCCACTGCCCCAGGTCTCCTCTCTGCCCTGCCTCCCGCTTCATGGCATCAAATCAAACTGCGGTAGACTTGACAAATCTATTTGGCATAGTTCACTCAACTATTTCAACCCCAATGGCCTGGAGAGCTGTGCAGACACACCATGAACAGTGTGGAGTCTGCACATTAAACACAGATATCTGGGGGAGATCTGCTAATGAATGGGCAGCGGGGTGCACCCTTGCAGGGGAGGATGGGGGAGGCCTGCTGGCCGCCCCCACATGCACAGTGGGGTGAGGGAGCTGAGGAGCAGGGCAATGCCTAATTGGCAGGTTTTCCATTTTCCTGCCTATTAAGTGCAGGGAGGATGCATTTCTAATGGGGGCCTTACCTCTGCCTTGCTCCCTTTATTTGGGGAAGACTAATACTCTAAAACAAAAACTAAAACTGCACGTTACCCAGTTGGTTACTTGGTGAAAGAGACTGAACCGAGGGGGGGAGGAGGAGTGAAGAGAGAGGATGTTTGCAGTAAGAAGAGTGGAGAGAGACGCTAAAGACCAGAGAGCTAAATTCAGTTCCCAGGGACATCTTCTCTGTAGAACGGATACAGGGATAAAGCAAGGGAGGACAGCATTCTATCAAAATGTGCAGTGCTAAGGTATTTCCAAAAGCAGATTTCCTACAAATGGTGTTTTAAATAGCATCCCAGTCCATCTGTGTGCTTTTAAAATCGGCTTATGCTACAGTATCCCTCCAGCCAGGGCTGCTTAGTCATTGAGCCTGGATAGGGAGATGGTCAGGTGAGCCTCATTCCTTTCTCCCAGGGCAGACCCTGCTCAGGGGCTGGCACAGGCCCATTGGCTGAGCTTCTGGGTTCCACTGGTTTCTTATCAAAAAGCTGAGAGAGAAGGTACAAGTGGGGTGGAATGAGGACACTCTGTCCGGATCTCCCTGCGCCCATTCTGCTTGCCATTCCCCACTGATGTTTGGCAACCCTTCCTGAAATTGAGTCAATGGGAATCCAGAACTGTCCCACCGGTCAAGGTGGGGTATCTTTCCATTGCTAAGTACCTCACCTTCCCTACTGGGGAAACAGAGAATATGTATGTGTGTGTGTGTGTGTGTGTGTGAGAGAGAGAGAGAGAGAGAGAGAGAGAGAGAGAGAGAGACAGAGACAGAGAGACAGAGAGACAGAGAGAGAGAGGTAATATCTAGAAACCACAATTTTCACATGAATGTTGCCATGTTACTATGGCGATTTAATTTTTAAAAAAAACTCACTCCTTTAAAAAACGCACATTTCCTGAGTAAGACTGCCAACACTAAAGTTCAGGATTTTCTGGGTCTAAGGCTTCCAGTTGTACCAGCAGTCGTAGAGCAATCTGCCTTGGGACAGCGCCAGGAACTGAGCAGATTCCCTTGTGCAAACTCTCTTTGGCCACACGTGCCTTATTCTATTAATTCAGAACCGGACAGCCAAGGCCTGGTGGTACTGTAGCACTAAAGAGGAACAGGCCCTTCTGCTCACTCCCAGCTCCTTTCCCAGCAAGGAGAGCAGCCTCTGGGAATCCCCAGGATACCACACACCTTCCTAACCCAAGGCTCAGCTGCAGTCTGCAGTGCTCCCACCTCACGCTTGGCCCCGCCCAGGTGACACGCTAGCTGCTTCCAACAAGCCTTCTCCATGCCCACTGCATTACAGCCAGCATGTCGCCAGCTGCAGATCCAGAATGCCACGTGTCTTAAGACAGCTGAGTGCCAGTCACTCGTCCCTGTGGACAACAAAAGCCCCGTATCTGCAGACCACACATCCCAGAGCTGCAGACACCAAGGGCACCAGCCGAGAGGATTCAATGCCTCGCTGCTAGGTGTGATTGCTGGTTCAGATCCCAGCCCTGATGAACTGAAGTTCGTCTCATTATTTATTGTCTTCTTTTTTCTCTGAGACATTGTGATTCCCTCTCAGGATTTGTGCCCTTTCATTTCTAGACCTCGGTAACTCCTGAACTGCAGCTTCGTGTGGTTTTGTGATTGCTAACCCAGCATGGGGAAGGGACTCAGGCCATAAATGCTCAATGAGTCCTGTGTGGGAAGACATAGAGGGGGAACACATTTTCCTCTTCATCTGTAGTCAGAGAGCACTCTGTAAGCCCCCCCATTTTTTTATTTTTATTTTTTTGTCTTTTTGAGACAGGGTCTCACTACGCAGTTCAGGCTGGCCTTGAACTCACAACGATCCTCCTGCCTCAGCCTCCCAAGTACTGGGATTACAGGTGTGCACCGCCACACCCGGCAGCTCTCTCTCTCTCCTGTGCAGCAGGCAACAACAACAACAGCAACCAGACTAAGCAAAATGGTGTTTTCCAATTGCTTTAGCATAAGAGAGATTTTCAGGATTGGCATGTCCCTGGCCTTCTTCAATTATTTGAGCCTCTATAAACAAGGCCTTTTTGTATGGGATCAACTTGAATCTCCTGCTGTCTCATCCCTTCTGCACCTGTCCAGCTTGCCTCAGAGGCACGGACATAACTTACCTTGTGGTTCTTGCCATGTCGGTACACCATCCAGTCTTCACCATTAGTGCTGACCTCCAGCTTGTAGGATTTGACGTAGTAGCCATTCTGGGTTTCCCTGGAAATTGCACCCTGGGTTGCAATGGCTGTGAGCATGGTTAGGAAGCGTAGGTCCACCTGGGGAGAGAGGAAAGGGAAGATTAAGGGGACCATCACTCTCAACAGGAGGCGGCATCTGGCTTTTTTCTACAAAGGACACCACTGTCATACTTGGCTCACAATCTGGTCTGTGATTCATGAGATGTATTGGTAGTTAGTATCAGCCTGCAATTCCACTGGACAATTAAACTCAACTTACTTGACACTAAATCAGACACTTTGCAAATATAACTTCGTTATTTTTCTTTCTTTTTCCTGTTTTACAGATCTAAATGGCTAGTATTGAGTTTCTCCTAACCACTGAACATCTAGAATTATGATCCTTCCTTATTAAACTATGGCCTGTCTTGGACTGAAAAAGCAGATGCTGTTCTAAAGCAACAATGAATAGCTAAATCCACTCTGCTCCAATCCAATTCACTTATAATGCCCTGGTTGCAAAAGCCACAGCTCATAGCTGCCTCCCATCCCCACGCTCCCTCATGCCATTATGTCTTTAGTTGCTCAGGTCACCAAAGGGTCAAAGGGCATGCAGAGCCTGCCCAAGCAATTAGGCTTATGCACCAAATCCTGACCTTTTGGTCTCCAGGGAGAATGGCCAAAATTTTGAGGTGCCTCTTTTTTCACAGTTCAAACTCATTTGGAAATTGCTGGATGTTTTTCCTTTGTTGACCATGGTGTTTCTTAATGGTAGCCTCCATGTGGCCAAACTTTAGCCCCTGCACATGGGTGACACTCAATTTGGCAGGCACTGACTTGCACTCAGTATGTCCACAGCACTAGGAGACATTCAAACGGAGTGGCACTGCCATCCATGTGAATGAGAAACAGGTGGATAGCAACAGGAAAAGTATGTGATTAAGGGCCAAAATTAAAGAGTATAATTAATGGACTGTCAATGACAAAGAAGAACTTTCTGGAAGCTTTGCAAGATAAAAGAATTTTTGGAGAGGCAGAGAGGAGAGACAGTGACAGATGGCCTTAGGGGTTTGTTGTTGGAGACTCTTGGGCTCCCTGGAGTTCCTAAGTGATCTTTCTCCCTTTCCTGCACTATGCTTCTTAGAGTAGAGGTCACCATGTCACATCAGAGCTACGACAGGCTTGTCGGTGGGTCACACGGCTGGCTATGAGTGTCAGAAAAGCAGATGTTGCTCTGGTACATGACTAGCGTTTGCTCTTCCCAAAGGATGAGAACTGGTCCCGGCTGCAGTGCGGGAAGATTACTCAACACGAGCTGCAAGACTTGTTCAGAGGGAAAGCAAACAATAGTCTGAAAAGACGCTGCAGAGCATCTGGGCGACTTGAGCTTCATTCCCAGCAGTGACATTTTCCCATGTGTTCTTCTGATAGCTATGTGCAAAACCTTCCTGGCAGGGCTCCCTCTAAATAGCAAAGACCTGGAGAAGTTGCTATATTCAGCTCCCACCCAACCAGCCTGCCCTCAGGAAAACACCTACCCCCAGGTCTCTGCTGCCACTCCTGTGCCAAGGAGGGAGACCAGCAACCACATATAAATGTTTCTTGGACACTGATAGGGCAAACAGTATCCCAGCCAAACAATTTCTCCCAAACCCGTTCATCACCAGGGTAAGGACAGCCCACCCCCTACTCCTCAGTGTATCTCTGCACACAGCACAGTTCCTGGCACAATCTTTTTGTGCCTGGTATGCATACTTGTTAGGATGATGAATGATTGAATGGGGTTCTCAAGTATGCTGTGCTTGTTTTCCTTGTGTGCTTTGTGCACTCTAGCTGAGGGGCCACTCTGCCGCCTCATCAGTACACACACACACACACACACACACACTCTGCACACCTCCTGATATCTGAGGAAGTACCTGGAGATACTCCTTGTTGGAATCCAAGTTGGGGGTCCAGCCATTGTCATCACCGTGGAGCCGGCTTTGTTGGGGGGACCACCTCCCATCAGAATAGGTTGAGGAGGCGCTGATCTGTTCATTAGCAATCCGGCCAGACTCCATTCCCAGAGGAACATTGCACTGAAAGTCTGAGAAGTACAGAAGGTCAAGGGCAGAGTTAGGTGATTCAGCCTCAACCCCGCCCCCCTGCTTCCTTCTAGGGACAAGTCGTTGCAGGCACTGCCTTATCTAAAAGACTAATTATAGGCTCGCAGTTTAAAAACAACTGCAGCAACTCAGCGCTTGACAACCCCTCTGGGTCTGAAAGAAACTAAATTGGACCTAAAAGAAATTAGGTGATGGATAAATAAGAATCATCACACAAATTAAGCATACAATCTAAAATACAGGAACTGATATCCCTGCAGGCTCCGGATGCTCTCAGTTGCCAGCTGCACCATGGCTGCCCTACAGGTAGATGAGCGATAGACTTGTGGCAATTTGGGTGGGCTGCTCTGACGTGGGAAGACAGCATTACCCATAAACACCCGCCAGGCACTTCTGCATCTCTCTTTCACCCAATTATCTCGTGAGTTCTAGCACAGAGGACAGATCTTACAAAGCATAAATACCTGTCTCTGGGAGACCTCTCAGGAGCACATCCATGCCATACTCTATCCCCCTGCCCCACCAGCTTGGGCAAACAGACCCCAAAGTCACTCACTCTGGCCTTAGTGCCAGCTGTCTAACAGCAGTTCCTCCCTGGATGCTGTGGAGACTGGTCAATATTTGCCTGTGCATGTGTTTTGTGAGGACCAACAATTTTTTCCCCAGTATCAATTTTGTGCCTTGGCTCTGTGACTGGTCATTTGCAGAGCCTGCTACAATTTGTCATACTAATTTTTGATTTTGTTTTTAAATCACACAACTTCCATGAAAAAACAAAAGGTAAACCCAGAGCACAGCCCAGAGACTTTCCTGCAGGTCAGGCTGCTATGTCTCTAATTAAATCAGTAGCGAACTGTCCACACCTGTGGTAGGATTTCCTCAGCTCTTAAGATCCTTAAAGTGCTTCTTTCTTCCTTAAAGAGATCACTGGGCTTCTGAATAGAAATGGCAGCACACCTGAAGCGCATGGCCAGGATTTGAAGACAGGGCTCAGGGCCAGAGGCCCATAGCCTACAGCGCAAGTTCAGTGACAGCTGGGGCCAGAGCAACAGTTTTTAATTCTGCACACAGTGCCTGGCCTATAGGAGAAGCTCCCAAAGTTCAAGCAGTTCTATTGTCTGGCCAAGGAAACTCAACCCAAAGCCAGAGATGTTTAACATCAAAATACATATACAGAGAGAGCAAGAGAGCTTTAAAATAGTTCAGATTTGTAACACTGGCCTCTGAGGCCTGGAGAGGCAGCAAAATGGCCCCAAACTCAAACACCTTACATCCTAACTATTCCCTTTATACCATAGATGAGGGAACTGAGACTAGGATGGCTGTGAGACTTTGCCTGTGAATAATTCATTCTTGGAATATACGTACATATATACTGCCTGTTAAGAGGATGAGGCTCCCATTCCCTGAGCTCAGATGCCGTAGCTAATTCTCTAGGGTTCCACCTCTGCATCCCCTAGAGGTCCACCATGTACACCCCTATCGCCCTGATACCCCCATCTATCAACTCACTCTCCAGCGGTTCTTGATGCACCAGGTAGTAACGCGCAGAGAAGCCATCCTTAGCCACTGCCATGTCTGTGTGAAAGGTCAGGGACAGAATCCCTGTCGATGAGCGGAGTTCAGAGGGTGTTTTGGTTCCACAGTACTTGCCAATCAGGGGCCCAACTGGACACACAAGACAAAGAGGAAATGGAAACTTGATTTTCAATAGATTCACCCCATCCCATCACTGTGTGTCACCCCATGTCTTTGCACGCATGGGCGTAACAACCAAATATGTGCTTTAAGAACAATGCCTAGTGGTTTTCCTGCACATTAAAAAGTACTTTGATGAGCTGGCTTCATTCTGTTCTTACAGCCCTGGGAGAAAGCTGTCATTACAATACCCATCCTTTGAAAGATGAAATTGAGCTCCAGAAGGGTTAAGATGTGATGTTTCCTTGTTCACACTGCTAGAAAATAGCAGAGTGGAGCCCAAACCTTAGCTTCCTGGTTAAATTTTATGCTTCTCCCAGGAGATGAAATTATTCTTGCTTACTTAGAAAGTCTCTCTTCTATAAGAAAATACTTAGAACAACTACAAAAGTGAACGATTCATTTCCTTTGCAATACTGACTATACCCAAGATCTGTGTTGGTCTTCATCTGTGAGTCTCAAACTTCTTGTGGCTTCAAGTAATGCACCTCTTCAGCATATACTACTACATTAATAATAACATTCTAGTAATAATGATGATGATATGACCCAGCTTACATAGTTAAGACAAAGATAAGGGGTTAAGTAGCTTTCTAAGCCTGCCTGGCTTAAAGTCCTTCTAGGTGGTCATAGAGTTCGGCCATTGAGTCACTTTCTATCCCGACAACTTGTTGTGGAAAAAGATATCACCCAAAGGACTTTCTATCTTCTCAGTCTAAAGAAAATATCTCCAAAAAAAAACAGACCACCTTTCTGTAATTTCTCTCAAACCAATCCTTGGAGAAAAAGAAGAGAAAGTCGTTATGCTCCCATGAGAGCCTTTATTCTCCCTTCTTGTAATTACTAAAGCAATTCACAGACAAAGGCCAAGCAACAAAGTGCCTTGTGAGAATGACATCACTCACCATGTGGAATGCCATCCCAGATGTCCAGCCAATCATATTTGCAGTCTCCCTCTCCCACCTGCAAAGGGTCATGCTCCAGGTCAAAGGTCAGAAACTGCAGGATGATCTCCATCTTGGGTTTGGCCACGATGGTAAAGGTGCAGTCCAAATTATGGGGGTACTTTTCAGGAAACCCGGGAGATTCAATGGTGCCATTGGAGCTGGTAAAGTTTTTAGAACAGTCTTCAGAGCCTGTGTACCAAAAAGAGCTGCAGTATTAGGAAGAAGGAGGCTTTCTTTGCTGCCCCTGTTGCATGGGTTATTTAAATGTTTGGGCCCAAATCCCCCTACTCATGAGCTTTTTGTTTTTACTCAAGGGCCCTTGGAGCAATGTACATATTCTCTTACCCACATCTCAAGCCCTCAAGCCAGCCCTCTTTAGGATAGAAGTTAGGGAGGCACAGCAGTCTTGCTCTACATCTTAGAGTAAGAGCAGCAATACAGGAATGGGAAGATAGGGAAAGAGAGAGAGAGAGAGAGGAGAGGTCTTGCAAAGAGGAACAGAGTCTTCTTTCTCAATCACTCAGCTGCTCTCTCCAGAAATGTAAATTATTTCAATCCTTAAGCAAGGCTTGCTGGTTGCCAGCAGGGAAAACAATGTTAGCCCTTATTTATTGCTGACCTCAACACTAGCCCCCATTGTACCACAGCCAGCTAAGTGCCCCTTCTCCCTTCAAGACCCAAGGTGCCTCAGGGGAGGGGCAAAGGGGAGCTTGGGTCTCATTCATGTCATGACTATATTAAAACGAGCAGCTCTGTAATGGCCAGACAATTAACAATCGACGTTTTTAGCCGGTGGATCACAGTGGGGTGCCAAGGATGTTAAAGGCCGCTCCAGCAGCAAGTTTGGAAAAATGCAGCAGTGTATTGACATTTGGAAGGCTTCTGGTTCCTTTGTGGTGGGGATGGCCATGTTTCTCTCCAAAGTTCTGTGTCTACTTTCTGGGGATGTGTAGGGGTGTCCTGATTAAATGCGGCGCACATTCGCAGCCTGGTGCAAGCTTGGACAGCAGCAGGCGCTCCTAAGAGGATTACAGGCACCATATCTCCCGCTGCCTCTAGGTGGAGTGCTGTTGAAAGAGTCCTTGTGCCTTGCCCTGCCACCATTTTTCAGAGCAGAACCCTGCAAAGATCCTGGGTGTAGGGAGACCCAGACCAGACCCATAGATATACAGAGAGTAAAAACCAGTGTAAGTTAAGGCAGTTGACGTAAATGGTGTTTGGTACCTTCAGATTTTAAAATAAGAAAAGGAAGCAGTATTTATGAGGAGGATAATAGACACTCTAAGCATGAAGGAAAAAAAAACCCACAGAAATTCTCAATAAACCAGGTGTTTACTGGTAGGAAGTATCCTCTGGGGTTCATGCTGAAATATAACTATGTGATGTCAATAGGCTGATCTTAGCCTGCGGCGATGTCTTTATCTGCAGCTCCTGGGGCAGGCCCCTCTGCAAGTCTCTTTATTGATGATGGCTTTCTGGAAAGCTGCAAATGTCTGACTTGGAAAAGGTGGCATGCAGATATGTGGGGAGGGGTAGACAGGACAGGAAATTCCAGTATCCCCTACCTATCCACACATCCATCACCTCCTCTCTTCTCTCATGCTGCACCTTGGCAGTATGAGAACTGCTGTCACATGAGGCAGGAGTGAACCTTCATGGCTTCTTTGGAAGCTCTAAGGGCCACATCCTGGAGGTTCTCTGTGCTCCATCATTCAGAGGACTGGCAGTGGCAGGGCAGGCCCCAGAGCTGTGAGAGGGCAGGCAGGCCTCATCCGGAGGGAGGAAAGGGGTAGCCTCCCCCAACTCTGTTTACCATTGGGCCTCAAAGTCCTGAGGGCCTCCTCAGTGGCCGGGATGATGCAATTTGACAAAGCCAAGCCAGCTGGCAGGTCTTCAGGGGGCCAAGAAGAATTTTGAAAAGGTTAGAGTTTATGGCTGCTATGCAGCCTTCTCCACATGGGCCACTTAGGGAGCCTCACGTGGGGCTGGGCGGAAATTAACTCTCTATTCACAACTGGCCTGAGAGCTAGCAAAGGCATCCCCCCGACATTCTCTCTTCGAGTTTGTCCTATTGTCATTCCCTCCGTAGGCAAGAGAAGCTATACCTCTCCTCTGGGAGTGAGGAATTCAGGGTGGGCTTTTCTTTTGGTCCCTCTCATTGGTGGGGGACAAGGGAGTCCACAAGGGATATCTGGAGAGTCTGGGCCAGGCCTGGAGAATGTGAGATTCTCAACCATCCACACTTTCCAGGGCCCTAGGTCCTGCATTCCTAGAAGGAATTTTTTAGTCAAGGATATTGAAGGGCAAATTGTTGTATTCTTCAGGAAAACTTTTCCTAATTGTATCAGTTTTGTGCAGAAAAATCAAACCTGTCTATTAAGACCATCTATTTGTCTCTAAATGCACCACAGTCAAAACAACAGAAAGGCAACTGAATATCCAACATGGAGAAGAAAGCTGAGGAAAAACAGACAAAAGTTGAGTCTCCCAGAAATCTGTATAATCTAAGATCTGTTTCTGTGATGCATTATTAGGATAAAGGTTGAAAAAAACTCAGTCAACAAATACCAGGTCCACTCAGTGCTTTCCCATAGAAGCTGAGGAATTTGGGCCACAATGAATGATTTCATAACAAAGAACTCTGGCATGGAAAAGTGACCACTGTGTGTTTTCCCACTATAAACTGTATAGTAAGTTTGCAAGTAGAAGAAGCATGGACACGTATAAAGACAGGAAAACATGATGGACTTGTCCAAAGCTGGCTTGGCTTGACTACAAAATGTGAACTTGGGTCCTCATGTAGAGAGTGAGGGCAGTAGACACTTCAGGTTTGTCTGCCTGTGAATGACCCTAGAAATTGCAGCTTCAGAAATAATACTGGGCACCAGCAAAAAAAATACCCTGATCTTTGGACTCTATTCAGAGAAACATCAGAAAAAAAGAAACCCAAAACACATTTCCAGTGTTACTTAAGAATTCCTTTCTCTACTCTGCTGAGGAGGGGGTGACTTGAGGTCTTCTGAGTTTGTGAGCTGCTTTGGGTTAGTGTTCGTCGGTGGATGGTCTGGTGATGCACGGGACCTTTTCTACTTCATGTGTGCGGACATGAGCAGCCCACTCCAGCCGCACGTCCCCTCTCCCCGCTGCACTGTGGCTTCACATCTCTCAGTGCAACTCTGCAGCACAGCCTTGCCAAAGGCTGCCGCAGCTCTGTGTGCGGCTGCTTGTGTATCTGTGTTTACAGTTTCCCCTTTCTTTCTCTTTACGAATCCGATTAGCAAACATAGCTGTGTTTGTTTGGATTTCTTCAGCTAGCCCACCCATTTCTTTCATGTTCTGTGGATGACGTAAACTCTGTATATTTTCTCTCAGGACTGCAACAGTGGAAACACTGGTACAAGAAGTGGCACCGAGAAGAATTTTCATATTCCGAAACTTCTTAGTTTTGGGTTTTGCATCCTTGTGCATGTACGAGGATTTGTGTGTGTGTGTGTGTGTGTGTGTGTGTGTGTAGCTTTCCAAGCATTTATTATTTTAATAAAATTTATATATCAAAGGTATTAAATGTACAATTCAAGCACAGTAAGTACCTTTACAGTGTGTACAACTGTTACCACTATTTGTTTCCAAAACTTTGACATCATCTCAAACAGAACCCCTTCTCTTGCCCATCTCAAAATAAAAAGGGCTGGGATATAGCTCAACGTAGAGCCCCCCAGGGTTTGATCATGGATGTATGAGTTTTATACATGGCTGGCTTTCATGTGAGAGTTGAGCTTCCAGATGGGCACAATGGCAGGTGTGAGGGGCCCTGAGAGGGCTCCTAGGCTCTCATCTTCTTTCATTCATGTTCTCAGAAGCGTGGCTGCTGGCAGGGCTGTTACTGCAGCAGTCTCTTCTAAAGGCAACCTCAGACCTTGAAGCAGGCTGCCCAGTGCTCGCTGCCAAACCACCTACCTTCCTTGGCTGGCACCATTGTTTCTAGGCAGTTCACAGACTTGTTGCTTCACTCAAAATTCTACTTCAGCATGTCATCCAAACACCAGTGTTGAATTATGATATCCTCTTGTGTGTTTTATCTTTTAATATCCTCCTTTCAAATGTGCATGATGGATAGAGTTACTATTCCCTTATTCGGTGGTGCTCTGGAGAATGTGGCATCTTGCCTTGTGAAATGCTAATTTGGGAGGCAGGAGACCGGAGGTGAGGGGAGGTGAGCTTTCATGGCTGCTCACCCTCGTTCTGATTTCTTTCGGCCAGGTCCCTGGAAGATCTTGCCTGGGTTTTTTCCCTTTCATGATCAGGACAGTGGAGGTAAGTCACAAATCTGTCAGTGGGGACCTTGCAAAGTGATAGACTCTAGAGAGCTCCTTGATTGTTCCTATTTTCATAACCATAGCATGCGAATTGTACCTTCACCTAGCATTTACTCATTTTCCTCAGTATTCTTTTCAACTTACATGTATGTTCATCCAGCAGCATCAACTGTGCCTGTGTTGTGGACAGAGAGTTTACACACCTGCCTTCCCCACTAGAAGAGGGTAAACACTGTTTATCCCTTCTCTCTCCCCTCTTCCCACTCCTCCTTCCAGGCCATGTCCCACCAGTGCTGGTGGCATTGATCTAGATCTTGCACAAGCCTCAGGCATGTGGATCAAGCTAGTGAGGGCCCTCATCCAAGCCCCAAGCTTCACATATACATCTTCAGTACCCTATGACTTCATTGCGGCCAAACGCATGAAAATTCATGACAGATGGGCCATCTTAGGACCTGCACCACATGACAGCATGCGTTCCCACACTAGTATGACACAGTTCCAGTGACCCCTCCCCTTCCTTTAATTCCGTCTTCTCAGGCCAATCCGACAAATATTTAGACAGAGTGGATATAAAAAGTGCTTTCAGCAGCTACTACTTCCTTTCAAGAACTGTTTAATGAAAATGAAAATATATATGAATAGTTCCCCTTGCACTGAACTCAACAGGCGCCGTCCGTGGGCCTCTCGATGACAGAGTTGACAGCTTCCCCCTGAACCAGACTCCATCCGAGAGTTGTAAAACTCAGGCTGCTGCAGAGGGGAGGCCCTGGGAGATGGAGCCAGAGCCTCGGTGGTGGGGAGCAGGCAAGGTGAGAGAGAACTGGAGGACGTGCCTGGCTCGGCCAGCCTGGGGGTATGGGGTGCCACCTATCAGAGAGAAGGACACGCTGCTCAGGGAGCATCGTGTGAACGCAGTCTGCTGTCCTCAGTTATGGAAACGCACACTGGTCCATCTGCTCAGTCCAGAGGAATCTAAGGAAGACCTACTGGAATCAGGTAGTCAACTTCTCTGCCCTCTTCTGCTATCTTGCTGACTGCATCACTGGTACAGAGAAGTACAGGTCCACTGGGCAGAGGAAGGATGGAGAGCCAAGGGGAATTTCTAGGAACCATATTTTATTGTCAAGTTGCAGGGCCACCCATTTAGGGGACTGTGGTAAGATCTTTAGGGTCTCTAAACAATGAAAAGGTCATGTCCTCTCGCACCATACAACTCCAAATAAAGCCAACATTAAACCATGAAGTCACTGGGGAAAAGTTCAGCCAAATTTTGCTTTTCCCCCAACTGAGGTGGATTTTTAAAAAAATGCAAAAAATCAGATTCTTTCCAAAAACGTTGCTTCCTTTTATTTGGAGCCCCCAACTCTCTGTTTCTTAGTGTGCGCCCTCATGTCGCACCATGGCCTGAGCCAGCTTTCAGTCTCCAGGCATCTCTGGTACACCTTGAGTCTCTTTCCCTCGGCCACCATTCAAGACGATGAAGTCGCAGCCCTTTCCACCTGTCACTCCCTTCCCTTCTCTACGGAGGGACACACTGACCTGTCTTGAAGATCTCATAGCGCAGGGAGAAGCCTGCCCCCTGCCGGGCGTAATCAGACGTGAACTTGATGTAGAGCATGGACCCCGAGGAGATGATGGTGGGCGGGGCGATGTTCCCACAGTGCTTGCCCAGGAGGTCTGCGGACTCGCTGTCCCCATCCCGAATCTCAATGAAGTCATACCTAGATCGGGGTGGAGAAAGGGACACAGGGGGAAAAGATCAGCCTGAGCGGGAGAAAGACGTCTCCTCCCGCTCTCCCCATCCACTTGGAGCAGGTCAGGTGTTTCAGAGCGATAAACAAGTCCATCTCGCTTGCCCGTGTCAAAGGCAAACAGCCGCAGGAAGTCGCACTGCGTCGTTAAAGTCACACATTGAGCGGTGGGCGGGAACAGCAGCGTTATTCAAAGATCGTAAAACAAACACTGTTTTCTTCTCTCTCTACCATCACTTTTATTTCATTACGATCTCTCTGAATCTTAGTTTCTCCTTCTTAGCTCTGTGTCATTGCAAGTTACCCCTGAGTCTCTTTGAGGACCAATGTCCTCATCTGCAAGGTGAGAAGAAAAATATCCACTCCAGAAGTTTGGGGTGGAGACAGAATAAAAAATATATGCTGCACATGTTTCAGAGACATTTACTTTGCTGCCTCTCCATTTCAGCTTTCTCCTAGGCCATTCACTCTTCTTGTTTATCTTCGATTGAGAGTGACAAAGACTCCCCACACCAGTGGGCCACCTCACTCCTTGAGATGACTCTGCAAAACTTCAGCTCAGTGGCATCTAGTCAAGAACACATTTGGAAAAGGAATCAGAGGCATTTTAAATAAGGCAATAAAAACCATTCTCCAAAAGCAGGGCTGAATCCCTGGGGACCCCTGTCTATGTGTACACAACTACTGGCCCCAGCAAGGGGCGGGCCAGGCTGCCCTCCCTAACCCAAGGCCTGTGCCCCTTTCCAACAGGGCAGGGCCGGGAAGTCTCGGCCAGGTTCACCGGCTGCTGCATGCAGGGCCCCTTTTATCTTGACAGACACACACTCTTCGGCCATGGCAGAGGCTCTGGCAATCCTCACTGTGTCCTGTCTGTTCTTTCTAGAATCCAAGTTGTTACCTTTGTCACAACCACTGTGGTGCGAAACTTCTTCCCCACCAGCTCCCTTCCAGTTGCTGGCCACTGTATTATTATTTGCTAAAACTGTCCATCTCCTTCGCCTTCCCTCCCTCTGGGTTTATTTTGCATTAACCTGTTAAAACAACACTTAAGAAATCTCTTTCTTGGGATGGAGAGAGGGGCTGGAAACGTGCCCTCCGGGACGTGCCCGCAGCTCTGTGACGTGCAGGTCTGCGGGAGCTGGCTGTCTGCACAAGTGGTTGATGTGAGCTGGAGAAGCCCGAAGCCTCACTTCAGCCTGTGGGAACCATATTTCAGATTCCTCAGCCACTTCCAATAAAAAGGTCTGTGAAGGAAGAAAAAGCAGTGGACCAAGAGTTGTTCCTTCTTGGACCCAGAGGGCTGGGCTCGTGCAGCTCAAAGAAAGGCTGAAGCTGACTCCAGTCTGGGGAAGTTGAGTAAGGTCCTGGGATTTTCTGGCAGGTTGAGAGGTTTGGGTGGGGGAATCTGTTCGGGTCTGGGATTTTGGTGTGGGAGGTGGCAGGCTTCCTTGTTTCCAAAGCAAAAGTGAAAAATGCTGAGTTTGCTCTCAGGGGAAACTCCCCAGATCTTCTGGAAAAGCCCTGCAATATTCCTACCCTGAGGTAAACAAGGGGCAGCTCCTCTCCAGGAGCAACGAGGAGGCCCCAGCTGTGTGCACCTAACCAGGCTCCCCCAGCTCACCTAGAGGCTGATGTGGAGGGCTCTGGGCACCAGAATTCCAGTCCCAAAACTAGACAGAGCTGGGTTTGGATCCAGATGACCACATTTTAGATGGGTTCCCTCAGGTATGTCACTGAACCTGAGTCTCAGAAGTGGGGAGAATAAGAGTAAAAAGGGATATTAGGATTTTCTACAAGGGTTCCTGTGAGATTTAAATGCCTGAATCTAATCTGTGTAGGGTTACTACTTTGTCATATGAAATTTAAATGTGGTTTGTTGTATTTTCACACCCACTTCAGAGGCTGAGCTGTTGGGCAGAAGTGACTTACCCTACAAGAGAGCAAATAAGCAGGGATGTAAATCTGTTCAAATGTTTTGGGAGGCATTTTGGCAAAATGTGATCAAAGTTAATATGTACATAGCCTTTAATCCAGTAGTTCTTCTGCTGGAAATTTTTCTTAAGAAAATAATCAGGCAATTGTGCCAAGATGTATTTGCATCTTCATGCATACACTTTTAAAAAAAAGTATGTGAAGAGTGAGGAGATGCTTTGATTATAAATAGCGTGATGTCAAAAAGCTCAACCCTAGGAGCGAATGAATCAATTTTTTTTTTAATTTTAAAGAGAAAAAACCCTCAGAATTTCAAAACAAGATCAATTTCGGTAAATTGTATGAAATGAAATATTTTAGTCAGTGGTGCTACAGATATAGAATTTGTGTTTTTATGGAAAAAAGTTCATGATATACTGTTAACTTTAAAAGGTAGACTTTTTTAGAAGTACATTTTATAACATATATATTTATTTCCTGTCTGAAAAACTACATGCTAAAATATTAACAGTGGTGAGATACACAGATGATAGAATAATTGGTAATTTTTACTTTCTTTGTTTTCCTCTGTTATTTGAATTACTTATGATAAGCCTACAGGTTTTACAAAGCCAAAAGTATCTAAAGTAAGGCTAATTTTCTGAGGTTCCTTTTTTCAAATAGAATTGCTGAGATAAACCAAGGTATATCAAATGATGAAGTAAACCGCCTTCATCACCATCACCACTTATCTCATATACTTGGTGTGAGGATCAAAGGATACGGCATGTTGGGATACCTAGAATAGTGTAGGAGACAGGGCCCACCTTCAATAAATAGTTTTTAAAAAAACAATATTGTAACTAGTCTTTGTGTTGACAATTTCTTTAGGAAGGACAAAGAGATGCCCTTCCCTGTACTGGCTTGTTCCTCAGAAGTGGTTGGCTAATCACCCATGCAGTCATTTAGGGGATTAACAAAACCAGCCAAGAGGCAGGGTTTCCACAAATGCCATCACTACAAGCTTGCCTCAATTCACTCAATGCGTGTACCACCCCCAGCCCATTCTTCCCATGTGGCCACCAACAAATAGAGCCTCACATATCTACGTATATGTGTAGTGAGAAGATATACTTTTGAAAAAGGTTTCTTTAATTCAATCGTATTATAAATTCTCTCTCTGAGCTTGTTAGTTAAAGGACCCCTCTGGTGAAGCCTTTTGTGAAGCAAATAATCAGCCTTTCCTTGAACTTAGGAAAACGGATTTTCCTATCAGGTTTGCTTGGGGGGGAAGCGATTCGGAGTGACAGTTGCGCTTTGGTGGCTGAACTCCCCTCTCCTTCTAGTGTCCTGGTTCTGCCCTGTGGACAAGCCCCTCTTAACCACACAGCCTTCTGGCTGGGCTTTTTATACAAAGGGCACACTCCAAATGACACGCTGACTTCATACAGAATGTCTCACTTACCTCCCTTGTGACTGGCTCATTTGGGAAAATTTTTTATTATTAAGGATTTGCTACAGCTGGAGTAAATCTCCTTAGAAATTTCAATGTTGTCACGTTCATTTGTGAGGAGGCTTAGGAAATTTGTGATCTTGGAATAAATACGGCTTTGCAACCAGCACTGAATTTCCAGTGTTTGTTTGGTGAAGGAATCTGGGGTACAGACTCAGCCTTCACCCCAAAGATAGCCAAGTAGGATAATGTGAAAAGCTGTTCTGCTCCTAACATAATATTCATTTTTCCTGAAGGCAACATAAACAAGCTAACAGACATATTAACTACAGTGTTTGCATTTCATTATTCATAATCTCTCTCAAATGAAAAATTCCTTTCAAAGCTTTAACACTACCTCTTATTATTTTATTTATTTATTTTTTCCTGAGCTGGAGTAGCCATCCCTACTCTCAATTCTTCTTTTCTCTCTAAAATGGTTCTCTGAATATGTTTTTACTTTTCACCACAGAGATTCTGACAGCTGCATATAGGGCATTTGTCTAGAGAATGTTTTCTGTACTTTCTTTCTCAGCTTCAAAATCTTAATTCCTTCTCCCCAAACTCACATCTGGGGTGTGGGAATCTTGACAGTGGAATTAATTGTAAGAGTACACAGGAGAGATATGAACAAGCAATAATTTCATCTCTTGCACTCATCACTGGTAAACATAAAAAGAGGCTTCTTAGTGTCCTAACTCTATCCATGCCTGACATTTCCCAGTAGGGTCCTCCTCCTGTGTTGGAAGATCCGCCATGCTGAGCCCTTCCTTCAATGCAGGATGACACCTAATCCCAGGGAATGTCCACCATTATGGATGAGCACAAACTGGTTGTGTGATGGGATGTCTACATCAGATCCTCTAAGCAAGAATGCTGTGCCCATTCTTTGGGATTTGGGTCTATATATGAAAATGCCGGTACCCAAGACCAGAGGTCAAAACCTCTGCCAGCAGTGAGTCCTTTCATGCTGCTTGTCTCATTGGATGGTTATGGCATTTTGTAGACAGCAAGCTCTGTCCTGTCCCTGGGCCTTTGTACTTTCTCTTTCCCTTGCCCGCTCTACTCTTTGCTAGCTTTGTCTGTGGCTGTTTTTCATCCTTCAGTCCCAAATGCATCTTTCAGTCCTCCTCAGAGAAGTGTGTCCTGACCTATTTCAGATGGTGCATACTTTTTCTTTATCTCGTTGTGTTCTTTTTTCTTTCATAGCTATTATTATAATCTAGAAAGGTCTTGCCAATATACCATGCATTGTTTATGATCTGTCTCCTGCACTTGACAGTGAGCAAAGTAGGGGTAATGACTTAGCTTTCTCACTGCTGGATTTCTAATATTTGTTGGTACGTGGCACTGTCTGTTGAGTGAATCAACAAATAAGGGCCATGCACTGTGTGTTGCATGTTGGGAAGGTGCTTGCCATCATGATGTTTTTCCGAGGAGTTTAACAGGTTGCACCATGTTAGCTCTTCTGCCTTTGGTCCCAGCACACGCCCTGAGCTATTCTGGTTGTATCTGAAAACCGAAATGTTGCCTCCTGACACAAAAACATGAAATATAACATTTTGCA